CAGAGAATAGAAAGCAACTCTGGCAAATTCAGGCAGGTAAGGAAATTACTAAAGGGTATCTGACAAGTCACAGAATTTCCAGAACAGCCAGAGAACCACGATTGGCACTTCTGCACCCAACAAGATCAAGTTCATTCCGGACCCAGTTCATTGAGGAACCCTTTATTGATACCACTGGAAACAGCCTCTGGAGTGCACAGCTCAGACTCAGGCCTCTGCTTCCAGAACATTGCTGCATCCCTAAGAGCCTGGATGTGACCGCCACGGGGATGGATTCTGCATGGGACCTGCTTCTGATCAGAGTTGGGCCACATGCCTGTGCTCTAGATGCCAGGTTGCGGGGTGAGGGGGAGGGGGCAGGACGGGGGGATGAACCTCTGCCACAGACAATGTCTGGAATGGGACATAGATCCTGCCTCATAAGGCACAATGAGTTTCCCTACACAGAGGAATGATGCTCAGATGTTGGGAAGATAAACAGAGCAACAAACGTCTGCTACAATATATCCAGGGCTACAAATGTGACCAGTTATAACAGCTCCCACTTTTAAGCACTCACTATGTGTCAGGCACCATATAAAATGGTTAGCATGCATTTACAGAGTTTAAACCACACAAAAGTATTAAGCAGGTATAGAGAAGAGATCCAGGGAGAGCAATTCACTAGAGTGGCCAACCACGCTGGTTTGCCCAGGACTGAGGGGTTTCCTAGTAAGCAGGATTTTCAGTGCTAACACCAGCAAAATCTCAGGGAAATCAGGGCAGTGGGTCAGTCTAGTTTGGTCAAACAGGCCCGGGCCCAAATTCTGGCTTGTCCACCTGAGAAAAGTGACTTAACTTCTTGGAACTTCAGTTTTCCCATTTATAAAATGGGTATGGCAACAGTATCTCCTTCATAGAATTGTTATGGACACTTAGAGGTGATAGGTATAAAGTATTTAGCACATCGCCACGTATACATGAAGAGCACAAAAAATATGTATTAGAAATTATTTTCATAATTTATTTCCCATAAATTATTTCCCATAAACCTTGAGTTTGGCCACATCACAACAAATGGTAGAACCAAGATTTCGATCCAGGATTGAACAACTCCATGCTGTACTTTAAATCCCTAAGCATTTATTGCTTCCCCATCCAGAAGGTGGTTGACGCTACAGGAGGATGGAGGAAAGGGGACAAACCAGGATTAGCGCTACCAGCTGCCCTAATACTTAAAGCAGGCAAAGAGGGAGAGTCAACAAAGACAGAAGATCACAGATAAGAGAGATACTGTGAAAGGGGGATCATTATAGAGGTAGGAGTGGCAGATCAGATCCAGCATGGCAGACAAACCAGTAGGTTAGAAATACCTTTCTTTTGTGATAAAAAAAAAAAAGTTGAGAGGTGTTGGTTTCCAGCAAAAATGGAACAATGGAGACTAATTTACTCCCCTACCTTAAACAACTAGAACACACAGAAAACTTAGGAGACAACAGTGTTCAGACAGTGGACAACAGAAAGCACAAGATGATGATGACGCCCTGAGAGAAGGGAAGTGGATGAGGCAAACCCTACAAGCGCTCCCAGCTCACTGCCAGGACAGAGTTTCCAGGCCATCATGCAGGAGTGACAATGAAGTAGATGGACGATCCCCAGAAGCTCATACAGGGTCAAGAGCTGTTCCTCTTCCAACCAACAAGCATGGAAAGATCTCCTAACACATGGAGCATCAGGTAGGTCTTCAGGAGACCGCTGCTTCAATGCTGAGCCCAAATTAGCTTGAACCAGATGTTAACAAACTTTTTTCTTAAAGGACCAGATACTTAATATTTCAGGCATATGGGCCATACGCCTCTGTTGCAAAAACTCGAAGCTCTTGCAGCGAGAGGCAGGCACAGACAATATGGAAGCCAATAGGGCTGTGTTCCAATAAAAATTAATTTTCCCAAACAGGCAGCTGGCCTGTGGGCCATGGTTGGCCAGCCCCTGGCTTACACTAAAGGTTGTTCTGGACTCACCCTAACAAAACTGAAAAAGCAGGCCTCAAAAGTATCAAACTAACTCCAAGGATATTAACTACATCCCAGA